ACTGGAGGAGGGAGGTCTTGGATTTCAATTGTTCGAAAATATGTCCTCGACATTTGCTTGCAAGTTATGGTGGCGATTGCGAAAGAAGGAATCTATATAGGCTGAATTTATGCATGAGAAATATATTAAGGATTGTCACCCTCGCAAAGCTCAGGTTAATAAACCACCACCATCCTGGTGAAGGTTACAAGGTGTTCGTGATTTGGCTGAGAGTAAAATCCAATGGTGTTTAGGTAAGGGGTTTATTGATTTCTGGTATGATCGGTGACTATTTGAGACACCCCTAGCTGATAGGGTTGCTATATGCAATCCCCCTCATATGTTGTTGGCTGAGTTCTATGGGGAGAATGGCTGGAATGTGGAGCGGTTGAAGGCTTAGTTGCCAATAGAAGTAGTCAGTAAGATTCAGGGAAATATAGGGCCTGTTTGGAACCCCAAGTTTTTTACAAGTTTGTATGCTACTAATTTTTTAACAACTTTTGCTACAGGAACCCCAAAAAACTTATCAAAGTTTTTAACCTACACACTTAAAAAAATTTTCCCTTCAACTTTTCTAATACACAAAAAATTTCTGAAAAACTTTTCTTGAGAGAGGGAACTTTTCTTCATTGGCATCAGAGTTCTTTCTTCTGGTGAACTTTCCCTTCAACTTCTCCCACGGTCTGGCACCAGAGGGAAAAGTTCTCCAACAAAAAATTTCCCTGCAACTTCACCAGCGGCATCAGAGAGTGGATTATTAAACTTGAGGAAAGGTTTGACTTTTTTTTTTTAACTTAGGGTGAGGGTGGCTGGGGAAGGGGGAAGGGGGGGAAGAGAGGGAGAGGGAAAATTGCAACAAAAATAAAAAGTTTCTATACCTGACCTGTCCGGCAAGAGAATGAGAGAAGAGGGGAGGAGAGGGAGAGGAAAAATTGAAAAAAAAAAAGGTTTATGTTGCTCCCTCCTCTGCCGGCAGGGGAAGCAGCGGCGGCGAGGGAAGGAGAGGGGGAGAGGGAGAGGGAGAGGGAAAATTGGAAAAAAAAAAAAAGATTTCTGCTGCTGCCTCCCTGCCGGTAGCTGAAGCAGCGGCGTGCGAGAGGGAATGGTAGAGGGAGAAGAGAGGTGGCCCTGAATCTGTTGCTTGGGGAGAGAAAAAATGCAAAAAAAAAAAAAAAGCCTTGAATCTGCCGCTTCATTGGCAGTTTCGGGAGAGGGAACAGGGGAAGGAAGGGGGAAGGGGAAGGGAGAAGAACCGGGAAGGGAGGAAAGAAAAGAAAAAAGAAAGAAAGAAAAAAAGAAAAAAGAAAATGAAAAGGAAAAAAAGTTTTTTCTCTTACAAAAATTTTTCTACAACTTCTACAGTGATCTACAGTAAAATTTTAGACAAACTTTCAAAAAACTCAGGTTCGAAACGGGGCCATAGTTGCACCCGGACCAAGAGGACTGCATGGTAGGGCTTGAGTCACCATTTGGGGAGTTCACGGTTAAGTCCGCTTGGGAGGCTTTAAGGCGATGGAGGAATAGATCTACAATTGACAAAATTATATGGAATAAATTGGTTCCGCTAAAAGTTTCCTTTTTCTCCTGGAAAGTTGTGCGGGGGTTTGTACCAGTTCAAGTTAAACCTTCAAAAGCGTGGAATTAACTTGGTTTCATAGTGTGTTTGATGTGGTATGCATGAAGAATCTATGACTCATCTATTTCTTACTGGCCCTGTTGCATCCGAGGTTTGGAGGCACTACACTAGCAGATTTGGCATTTTGGAGGTCAGGGCTACCTCGCTCTCAGCCATGATTTTATCTTGGTTCTACTCATCCGCTTTTGTGTCTGAGGATGCTCACCTCGGCCATCTTTCATGCCCGAGGTGAACTCACCTCGTCCTTCATCAGAGCTCATCCGCGTCTCGGGGATATCCCCTAAGCTCGGCTAAATCCCTAGTCTACCGGGTAGGTGACCTCGGCACCTTCACCTCTGCTGCACGCTAATGATGTCAGGACACCTGACATCACCCGGGATCAGTGTGCTTTATCTGAAAAGCACTGTTGCACTTAATGGCTACTGCAAAGGACTCCCCGTCACCCTGTCCGGGCGGCTACAGTGTCAGAGTCAGGGCATCTGACAGGGAGCAGAGCCGTAATGGCAGGACATGGGTCCCACCGGCATAAGACCTCCGTCCTGCCCTCCACTCTCATCCTATAAATACCCCACACCCTCCCAACAAGTAAGCATGCACTGTTCATTTGCTCATACTCTAGCATTTTCTCGTTCTCATACTAACTTAATCGTCGGAGTGATACCAGGGGAGAAGCCCCGCCATTCACTTCGGACAAGAAGGTTGACTTCGGACACACGAATTCATCTCACCTCATCTCAGAGAGGACTGATTTAAGTCGGCTTACTTATCCACCAAAAATCGCCTCTTCAATTGGCGCCGTCTGTGGGAAACGAGATTACTGCTAAAATGAGATCCACGCGCTCCAGAAGCGGAAGAGTTCCCTCAACTGGGGCTGGGCAGACATCCGGAGCCCAGCAAGATCGTATCTCTGAGGAACATGGGTCCCAAAGGACCCAGCCCAACAATGAGGAGGCCATCGCCAAGATGGCCGAGTTTGTCACGGACAACCCCAACATCTTTGAGGAACTAGGAAGGTACCTCAAGAGGCAGGGAAAAGAAAAAGCCGAGTCTTCCAAGAGGAGACCGACGAAGTCCCCTGAAGTGCCCTCAGGCGAGGACTCCGAAGATGGGCGTCTATCTCGGAGCACCTCCAGGCGAGCCTCATCCAAGGCAACCTCCAAGATTGCTTCCATCTCCCGAGCGTTTTCTCGGGGACTACTGGGAAAACGAGCCGAGGACCCACCTCGGCGTCCCGGAGGCCTAGCTTCTGATTACATGAGGGCTCCGCCCTTCACTGATGACATCAACGGGGAAATGGTGCCCCCGAACTTTAAGCTTCCAAATTTGCACACCTATGACGGCCGAGGTGACCCCGAGGATCACCTCCGCGCTTTCATCTTCGCATTCCGACTCTACTGCGTCCCCGACGCCGTGATCTGTCGGGCTTTCCCCATCTTCCTGCACGGGACCGCCCGGAAGTGGTTCTGGAGTTTAGAACCAGGGAGCATTTCCTCCCTGGATGAGCTGATAGACCGGTTCATCCACCGCTTTGTGTCGTCTCGACCAATAACAAAGACTTCAGCTTACCTCTTGAACCTGCAACAGGGTCAGGGCGAGTCACTTCGCTCGTACGCCCAAAGGTTCAACGAGGAGAATGTACAGATACCTGACCAGAACGAGCAGGTAACTATTGCTGCCTTCACCAACGGGTTAATAGCAGGGATCTTTAACACCGAAATCCATCGGCAGTACCCCCGTACACTCCGGGAGCTCTGGGAAAGGGTGGACCAGGGAATCCGAAGTGAAGATGTAAATCGCATGAAGCGAGAAGCCCAAGCATCTCGTACGGGGCAAGATCCCCGGAGGAGGAAAGACACTGGCCGAGGTGAACCAGGCCCAAGTGGCACTTCAAACCAACCCCGAGACCGCCGAAGTGTTTCGACCGGATCGTGAAAGGCAGATCGTCCACCTCGGACGCCGAGCTGACGCCCCTCAATTCGAGCCGGACCCACGTCCTGGCTGTGATGAGGCAGAATCACCTCGGCCGAAACCCTCCCGAAATTCCGGGGAGGAGAGATAAGAGGAACTCGAACCTCTACTGTGCCTACCACCGTGATGTAGGGCACGAGACTGAAGACTGCAACGACCTGAAGCGGGAAATCGAAAATTTGATCCGGCAAGGATACCTGAAGCAATTCGTCCGCAAGGATGGAGGTTTCAACCGAAGTGTCTCCCACCGGGAGAACCGGGGCCCTCGCCGCGACGACCGACGGGACACGAACATGCATTGCCGAGGTCCCGAAGACCGTAGGGAGGACAAGCAGCCCCCACGCGATGGCTCACCGGGCTACGGCCCCAACATCGCCGGGGTGATCAATACCATCGCGGGAGGACTAACGGGAGGAGACAGCCAGAACTCCCGGAAGCGGACCTACCGCCAGGCCGAGATGGAGGTGGCCGAGCCGAGCTCTCGGCTGTCCGAGGTCATCACCTACGGTCCCGCTGACCCCGTTCCTGCGGCCTCCAGCAATCATGAAGCTCTTGTGATTGAAGTCCTCACCAACAACTACGTGGTCAAAAAGGTCTACGTAGACCCCGGAAGCTCGGTAGACGTCTTGTACTACCGGACTTTCGAAAGTTTGAAACTGACCAGGGAGCAACTCACTCCTGTCAGGACTCCCCTCGTGGGATTCGGGGGACACGTCGTCCACCCGGAAGGCATGTTGACCCTGGTGGTAACAATCGGGCGTCATCCACGCTGCCGAACTGTGCCTGTCAGTTTTGCGGTGGTCAAAGCAGACTCCCCCTACAATATGCTGATAGGCCGGCCCACGCTCAATGCCTTGAGAGCCGTATACTCCACCTACCACCTGAGCTTTAAATTCCCAACATCTGCGGGGGTGGCCGAGGTAAGCAGCGATGTGGGCGCCGCCCGGGAATGCTACCTCGCCACCATTCAAGCAGCAGTCACCCCCCGGCCCTCACCGAGGTCAGAAGAAAAGAGGCCAGCGGTCCTCTCCATAGACTGCATCGACCCTCAGAAGGCAAAAGAGCCCAACAGGCTGGAGCCCGGGGATGAGGTGGAACTGGTGGTAGTGGATGAAGCGAAACCTGACCAAGTGGTCCAAGTAGGGGCTGGACTACCCTCACCCCTGAAAGAAGAAATGATCTCCCTGATCAAAGACCACCGAGACGTTTCGCGTGGTCCGCGGATGAAGTGGTCGGAGTGCCACCCGAGCTCATGACTCACCAACTCAACGTTGACCCGCAGGCCCGACCTGTGCGACAGAAACGAAGGCACTTCGGCCCCGAACGTAGCCAAGCCATATCGGATGAGGTCGACAAGCTCTTGCCGGCCAAGATGATCCACGAGGTCCAATATCCCACCTGGCTGTCCAATCCAGTCATGGTAAAAAAGGACACCGGGGGATGGAGAATGTGTGTCGACTTCACCGACCTCAACAAGGCCTGCCCCAAAGATTGCTATCCTCTGCCAAGGATAGACGCCCTCGTCGACGCGGCGATGGGGTATGAAATCCTCTGCTTCCTAGATGCCTTCAAAGGGTATCATCAAATAGGAATGAGTGAGGAGGACCAAGAGAAAACGGCGTTCTACACCGACCGAGGTACTTATTGTTACACTACCATGCCCTTCGGGCTAAAGAACGCCGGGGCGACCTACCAAAGGCTGATCAACCGACTCTTCCAGAATCAGATCGGCCGCAATGTGGAGGCCTATGTGGATGACATTCTCGTTAAAAGCCTCGCCACTTCATCCTTTCTGTCAGACGTGAGGGAAGTCTTTGGTGTCCTGCGAGACTCGAGAATGAAGCTGAATCCCAAGAAGTGCGTCTTCGGCGTCACCTCGGGAAAATTCTTGGGGTATCTGGTTTCCCACCGGGGAATCGAGGCCAACCCCGACAAGGTGAAAGCCATTCAGGACATGTCTCCACCCCGGAACATCCGAGAAGTCCAACGCCTAAATGGACGCCTGGCCGCGCTGAATCGCTTCCTGTCCCAATCAGCCGAGAAAGCTCTGCCTTTCTTTAAGGTGCTGAAAAATGCTGACCAATTCGCCTGGACTGAGGAGTGTCAGGCTGCTTTCGACCAGCTGAAGCAGTACTTGCATCACCTACCAACTCTCGCTTCACCTCGGCCCGAGGAGAAGCTCTACCTCTACCTCTCCGCAGCCGACGAGGCTGTCAGCGCTGTGCTCATCCGAGATGAGGGCACCCAAGTGCCGGTCTACTACGTCAGCCGAGCCCTCCGCGGGCCGGAGACCCGATACACGCAAGTGGAAAAACTTGTGCTGGGGCTCGTCCACGCAGCTCGGCGGTTGAAACCCTACTTCTTAGCCCATCCCATCTCGGTAAGGACCGACCAGCCCATTCGGCAAATATTGGTGCGACCCGAAGCTTCTGGTCGCCTCACCAAGTGGGCTGTCGAATTGGGAGAATATGACTTGTCCTACGAGCCACGCACCGCCATAAAAGCTCAAGCTTTAGCTGACTTCCTTGCTGAGCTCACCTTCACGGAAGGTCCAGGGTCCACCTCAGCCTTACCCGAGGTGTCCACCTCATCCCTGTGGACATTGTATGTCGATGGATCCTCTAATGGAGACGGCTGTGGAGCCGGACTGCTCCTGGAAGGACCTCAGGGGGAGGTTTGCTCTTATGCCCTCCGCTTCGACTTCCCGGCCACCAACAATGAAGCCGAGTACGAGGCTCTAATCGCTGGACTCCAGCTAGCCCGCAAGCTCGGCGCCCAGCAAATCCACGTCCGCAGTGACTCCCAGCTCGTGGTACGCCAAGTTATTGGTGAGTACGAGGCCAAGGATGAGACCATGCAACGGTACCTCTCCAAAGTTCACCAACTCACCGCGTACTTCAAATCATTCGAAATCCAAAGGATCCCTCGGTCCCAGAATAAGCGAGCCGACGCCTTATCCCGGCTGGCTTCCACTTCATTCTCTGACCTCAACAAAACCGTCTTGGTGGAGGTCCTGAGTGAACCAGGGTACGTGGAAGAGGTGGCCTGCCCCGTGCACTCTGAAGAAACTTGGATGACCCCGTTCATCCTTTTCTTGGGTCAAGGAGTCCTTCCCGAAGACCGAGCTGAAGCAAGGAAGATACAACGCAAAACCGCTCGGTATGCACTCCGCGATGGAGAACTATATAAGCGCTCCTACCTCGGCCCATGGTTGAGGTGTGTCACCCCCGAGGCAGGACGCGAGGTCCTCCACGAGATCCACGAGGGCCTATGTGGGGCTCACATCGGCCACAGGATGCTAGCTAAGAAAGCTATGCTCCTGGGATATTTCTGGCCATCACTTCGACAAGACTCCCAGGACCTCGTTCTCGGCTGTCCTTCCTGCCAAGTCCACGCACCCGAGCGCCACCAGCCTTCAAACTTCATGGTCCCCATCACTTCACCCTGGCCGTTTGAGCAATGGGGGACAGACATCATAGGTCCCTTCCCCAAAGCCGTCGGGGGTTATACATTCTTAGTAACCGCTGTGGATTAGTTCACCAAGTGGGTCGAGGCCGAGCCACTTCGAACCATCTCAGGGCTGGCCATTCAAAAATTCTTTTGGAAGTGCATTATCTGCCGCTTCGGCATACCGCGGGTCATCATCTCGGACAATGGGAGACAGTTTGCCGAGAACCCGTTCAAGACTTGGTGCGAGAACCTCGGCATCAAACAACACTTCACTTCGGTAGGCCACCCCCAGGCCAATGGTCAAGCAGAAAACTTCAACCGGACTCTTCTACATGGTCTCAGGACCCGACTACACCGAGCTGGGTCATCTTGGGTGGAGGAACTCCCCAGTGTCTTGTGGTCGTATCGGACCACGCCGAGGTCAGCGACGCAAGAGACCCCATTCTCTCTGACCTACGGCGCCGAGGCGGTCATCCCGGCTGAGATCCTTACCCCCAGCCCTCGGCTGGCAGCCTATGCCGCCGAGGTGAACGACGAAGAGAGGCAGCTGGACCTCGACCTCGTCGAAGAACGAAGGAATCTCGCCTCAGCCCGGATAGCTTCTTACAAGAACACACTGGCACACTACTACAATGCCCGCGTGAGACATCGTAGATTCCAGCCTGGAGACTTGGTTCTTAGAAAAAACTCAGTCAGCCGAGCTGAACCGCAAGGAAAATTATGCCCGAAATGGGAAGGCCCTTACCGAGTTGTGGAATCTGACCCTAAGGGGTATTGTAAACTGAGTTACCGAGATGGCTCATTAGTGCCGAGGTCTTGGCAGGCCGAGAACCTCAGATTGTATTACGCCTGAATTTTTAATCAAGTAATGACTTCAGCTATTATGTTATTCTTCAACATCGTTGTTACGCTATTAAAAAATAAGGGGGACAAGCAAGGGATGAAGTCAAAGCAAGAAATTAAAGCACTGAGACGAGAAGAAGTATGCTTTCATTCAATAAGAAAGAGCGTTACAAAGTACAAGGCCGAGATCCGAATGCTACTAAGCACTCTCCACCTCGGCCACCCCCTTAAAACCGCGAGCCTAGACCCCCGTCTCGGCTCCATCCCCGGTCTTGGCCCCCTCCTGGGCATCCTTCTCTTCGGCCTCTTTTCCGCCGGGGTGAACTTCATCTCCATGCTCTTTGCCGACGTCCCCTTCGGCTTCGTCTCCCTCAGCGTCCTCTCCTCCAGCTTCTTCCACTTCCACGTCCTCGAACACTTCGTCGAATTCGGACAGCCACTTGTTGAACTCGACCTGGACTTCGGCCAAATTCCTTCCTGCCTGAATGCCTTCGGCCATCCGATCGCATAACTCCTTGGAGTCCTCATTGTAACTGGTATGGTTTTTTAAGGACTCCAAGGCCTCGGAGGAGAGGTGAGCTGCGGCCTCGTCAACGGCCGATGTGAAGCCAAACATGAAGTTAGGCGTAAGTAGTTGGCCGAGGTCCTTGATGAAGGCCTCGGACTTCCGAAAAGCGTCTACGGCCGAGGCTCCGGCACCCTCGAGAGCTTGCTCGTGGGACGCCTTCACCTCGTCCCCCCTCTTCTGCTCCTCTTCGAGGGCCGATCGGAGACTGTTGATAGTAGCCGCAGCCTCCTCATCCTTCACCCCGGCCTCCTTAAGCCGCCTTTCAAGCTCGGCCTTCTCAGACTCGGACACCAACAGTTTTTTCTCCAACTTGGAGATTTGATTCTGCAACTTGCCGGTGTCCTGTTCCTCGACCAGAACACAGTAGCGGTGTGCCATCTCGGCCACAAAGGCCGAAGTGGAAGCTGTGGACACCATGAGACTTTGAACCACCTCGGCCGGGCTCAGCTTCTTCATGAACTCCAAGTCCCTCGGCAAGGGGGAGTGCATCACTAGTTCTTGGGCAACCCGAGGATGCTGGCACCTGTCGCTGACCGAAATCTTCCAGTCCGGACACCAATGCCCGCCGGGGTGCGTCTTATCGTCTCCGGGAAACACTGGGGGGCTATGGAAACGATTCCATAGCGAGGTCCCCGACACCGGATTAACTGGAGGCTTCAGCTGCTTGCCTCGGCCAGAAGGAGGTGTGACTGTTGTAACAACTCTGAGGGGAACTCCCTCTGGCACAGACGAGGTGGACCCAGCAGTCGCCGTGGCCGAGCTGCTCTGGCCAACCTTGGTGGGAGTGCCTTTAGACGCCGAAGTCTTAGCGGCTGGTCCTTGTGACTTCTTCTTCTTTGGCGGAGGTGTCGATGTCTCGTCATTGCTCTTCCTCTTCTGCCTCTTGGCCACTTCGGACGAGCCAGAGACGACGAGGTCGGACAGTTTAGTCACTGCACAAAGAGCAAATATTATCATGTGCCTTAGCCGAAGTGAAATCAAAGCTATGAAAGAAAATTACAAGGTATCTTAAGTTTAGTGGAGGTGAAGGGAGTCTTGTCAGGAGGGATCAAAGCTCGGCTAATTCCCCCGTCAACCAGCACGGCTTCGGGGTAGTCCAGACTGTATATCCGAAGTCCCGACCCCATCAGCTTCTGGAAGTCCTCCTCCTTGGCATCCCCAGCAGAGGGATCGGCCTTCGCTTTGATTGGCCTCCACCAAAAGCCCCTGGGGAAGTCCACTTCGGACACAAAGAAGTAGTCGCGCTTCCAATTCTTGATTGAGCTGGGAGCGCCGACCACCAACTTCGGAATGGCATTGCTCCGATTGCCAACATAGAACCATCCCTTGTCTGTCCCGTGCGCCTTGAGGGTATAGCATCGGCGGAAGAGGTCGACAGACGGAGTCACCTCCTGATGTCGGCACAGCATCTCGAACCCAATAATGATGCGGATCGCATTCGGGGCGAGTTGGGTAATCCTCACGCCGAAGTGACGGAGCAGATCCCTGAAGAACCTCGACGTAGGCATCCTCAACCCGGCCTCCAATTGTTGGACATAGATGGCCACCATGCCAATGGGGGGCTTCTCGGCTGAGTCATCCACCCCGGGCGGTGTGATCTCGTACCCTGACCGGAAAGGGTACTTGTTTATCACCTTCACGGCCCTATCTCTTCCGATGCGACTCCTAAACTTCGGCATCTTGCCGAAGTCGATGTTGGATGTATCTTCGGGAGCGACAGGCTCCAGTGCGTCCTCGTCGTGTGGTATCTCGACGCCGAGCTCCTCATCATAGGCCACTTCGGAGCCACCCTCGCTCATCTCGGATGACTCCAACTCGACGTCAACCTCCTCGCGGGTCTCCTCGGTGGATCCTTCCCCAGAGCTCGGCGTCGACCCATCAGAGCTGGACGTCGTCACTTCTACAGGATCCGGCCTCACCTCGGTTCGGTAACTCGGTGTCACGGTTTCTTTGTGGGTCTTAGCTGTTTTGGCCATGGGTGAAAGATGAGGTAAGAAAGAAGAAGAATACTTACTATTGCCTACGGAGTTGGACGAAGTTGATGACCTCGGCTTTGATCTCGGCTACTAGACCGACCTCGGCTGAAAGAACTGACCTCGGCTACGCTCGTGAACTTGCAAATCTCAAATGAAAATGAAAGGTGTGAGAAGTGCGGTGAGGGGGCCCCCCTATTTATAAGGGTTTGGGCGGAATATGAAGAGGCGGCAAGAATGCGAAAGGACGGCCACGTTCGAACTCAGAACGTCGTGCCTCCCTCTCTCCTCATTAATGCCCCGTCCTTTCGGCTGACACCCTGCACGAAACGTCCCACTACTTCACGACGCGACGGTTACCAGTGACCACGTCCTGTCAACTGACACGTCCACGTGTCGCGTCCCCGCATCTTCCGGGGCAGTTTCGGGACTCCGACTCTCTCCAACTTCGGCACAAGGAAGCCTCGGAACCTCCCTAGCCCGGAGCTCCCGAGGCTTGGGGGGCTTATTGAGGATGCTCACCTCGGCCATCTTTCATGCCCGAGGTGAACTCACCTCGTCCTTCATCAGAGCTCATCCGCGTCTCGGGGATATCCCCTAAGCTCGGCTAAATCCCTAGTCTACCGGGTAGGTGACCTCGGCACCTTCACCTCTGCTGCACGCTAATGATGTCAGAACACCTGACATCACCCGGGATCAGTGTGCTTTATCTGAAAAGCACTGTTGCACTTAATGGCTACTGCAAAGGACTCCCCGTCACCCTGTCCGGGCGGCTACAGTGTCAGAGTCAGGGCATCTGACAGGGAGCAGAGCCGTAATGGCAGGACATGGGTCCCACCGGCATAAGACCTCCGTCCTGCCCTCCACTCTCATCCTATAAATACCCCACACCCTCCCAACAAGTAAGCATGCACTGTTCATTTGCTCATACTCTAGCATTTTCTCGTTCTCATACTAACTTAATCGTCGGAGTGATACCAGGGGAGAAGCCCCGCCATTCACTTCGGACAAGAAGGTTGACTTCGGACACACGAATTCATCTCACCTCATCTCAGAGAGGACTGATTTAGGTCGGCTTACTTATCCACCAAAAATCGCCTCTTCAGTGTCCACAGATCATATTAGAGTTGCAGTGCCCCTACTAGTATTATGAATACTATGGAAGGCAAGGAACAAGGTGCGATGTAAAGGAGTTCGGTTTGAAGTGCATCAAGTTATTGCTACGGTGGATCATTTTGTGGATCAACTAGGGAGGGCAAAGGTCTTTGTTGCCTCCAGATTCAAGGGTGGCTGTAGCGACCCTTGGGCTAGATTTGTTAGGCAGTCGATGTAGGTTGTACGGAGTGTCCCAGTGGCGTGGAGGTGGCCAGCACATTCTTTCGTCAAGTTGAATACTGATTCGAATGTCTTACAAGGGCATGCGTATGGAGGAGGTTTGCTTAGGGACCATGAGGGTCGCTTGATTTTTGCCTATTACAAGGAGTTTGGAGAGGCAGATGTACTGATGGCAGAGAGCTTATCATTGTTATATGGTCTTCGGATTTGCAAAAACAAGATGGTTGATCACTAGATAGTTGAAGTGGAGACGGAGAACTTGGTAAGGTTGGTAACCTCCAAAGAGGCATCTAAGTGGCCACTTTGTAATGTTTTGCGAAGAATTCGTGCTCTGTTATGGGATTGTTCCTCGTCTGTTACTCATATCTTCAGAAAAGCTAATACCTCTACAGATAGGCCGGCGGCGGTGCGATCTTCACCATATCTTTTTTGTACATCTCTCCAGCAGCTGCCTAGGGATGTTAGGGCCGCTATTCATCTTGATTCTAGGGAATGTCTCTTTTTGCGCGTGCAAGTTGGACGGGGGTAGTACTCCAGCAGCTGCCTATTTGCGTTAGATTTCATATCTGTAATTTGGTTTTTTCAGCAATAAAATAGTATTTTTTTTCAAAAAGTTTATTTATGTGTTCTAAACTAGCTAGAACAAATATGCAAAAACACAAATGCTTTTCCTATTTTTGTATTGTGTATACATGAAATACATTGACATATGCAAATATGATTTAGATTTTCTATTCCAAAAAAATATATAGTAAACATTAATCCGTACTATTTTTTTGATGATGATGTGATTAGTGGTAGGGATGTTAAAAAAGAACCAAAAAAAGGGGTAATCAAGAAAACCGAATTAGCCCAAATCGAAAAATAGGATAACTAACCAACATTTTGAAATGGTTAGGTTACTATTTAAAAATTTAAAATATTAAGTTAGGGTATGGTTTTCAATTTTCAAAAATTACGGTTACCCAGACCTACCGCATATGTGCAGGGAATGTAGGATTGATTAGGATAACTAGTAACCAAATTTCAACCCATAATTATTTAGTCATTTACTAATAATTCAAGTTAGGAGGACCATTATACATTTTATTTTTCAAACTTATAAACTTATTTAAACTCCCGCTTATCTTTTTCACTTCCAACATTCGTCACCACTAATTTCATTTATTTTGCTGCTATTTTTTTGTCTTTTTTCAAAACTTCTTTTCATTTTTCATAAGTTCCAATCACTTCATCGCTCTACTAATTATTTTGTTTTAAATTTTTAAAAGTTATATGTTTGGTTATGGAATAACCTATAATACTTATTAAAAAATAAATTGATAGTTTTCAAGAAATACAAAAACCAAAAATAAATGTTCAGAATATTCAGTATTTAGTATCTAACGTGTTTTCATTTTCTATTTTGTTCATAATTTTTTAGAGTTGGAGCATTAAATACTCTTATTGATCTAGAAGAATGATATATTATTTGATTTGTTAATCTAATTTCTTTTTTCCAATAAGTAGGAGAAAGTCAGCTCACACTATACCCGACCCTATCCCACAATTTAACTAGTCACTGATTAACCGGTTGAATTAGGTAAGATATGGAATATAATTTTGCTGAATCCATACATGCGATTAGGGATTAAGATCAGTAAAATTGCAAATGGACTGATCAACATCTCTAAGTAATAGAAAGAGAAGCACAAAAATTTTGGGATGTAATACTTTTCATTTTGGATGTCCCATTGAAAGTGTCATGATTTTTATTTTGAAATGTCCAAAAACGTTTGTTATGTTAGAAAAATCAAAATATTTTTTAATCTCACTTTCCAATATAACTCTTTTTTCTAATGATATACATGTTACAATTCAAATTTAGAATTTGAATTTGTGAGGTTAAAATTAAAAAATATATATAAATATCACAATCAAATCACTATTTTTAAAAGGTTGAATTCTCAAAATATGATTAAATAATTGAGACGGAGAGCGTATACCATGTGTAAAGCCTCTCCCTCCATGCCACGATTTCTTAAAGCAGTAAGCTTTGACGTGTCGGTGACAACAGGCATCAACCATCGTCGTCAACATTTCATCGTCGCCGCTATCCATCGCTATATATCTGCCCATACCGTTTTTCCTTTCTTCACCATCTCCCCTCGGACCCCTCTCCAACTTTCAAACTCTTGTCTCTTAGTTCGCATTCCATCACCACAAACAAAAATTCTGAACCTCCTTCACCGACGATGTCTTACGACTATCTCTTCAAATATATCATCATCGGAGACACTGGTATATTAATTTACTTGTACTACTATTATCAACTCCTTGTTAGTTTTTTTTTTTGCTTTGAAAAACCCTAACTTTTTGTTTTCTGAAAAATTTGCAGGAGTGGGGAAATCATGTTTGTTGTTGCAATTCACGGACAAGAGGTTTCAGCCGGTGCACGATCTTACTATAGGAGTGGAATTTGGTGCCCGCATGGTTACTATTGATGGTAGGCCTATAAAGCTCCAGATTTGGGATACTGTATGTAAGCAATTCCATTTCTTTTATTTCTTGTTGTTTTTGTTTCATCTTTTATTGTCACGCCTTAATCCTATGATTTTCAGTTTGCTTTTTTCTTTCTTTTTTTGTGTGGAATATGTTGTTTTAGTTAATACTGAAAATGGTAGTTTTAATTGGCAAGTAAATTTCTATCATTTTTAGGCTTAAATGATTTATTGGTGGTAGTTGTGTTTTTCTAATTTGTATTGATGCTAATGCTTGTTTTGTAACTGACAATTCTATGACTAAAATTGGATAATATGTTGCATTTCTTGACAATCATAATAATAGTGCTAGTATGTGTTTCTCAGAAAAAAAAAAGGCTTGTATTTGTTACGGTGAACTATTGTTGGTAGGAAAAGAATATGCTACACTTTTGAAACCCAATGCGTGATTTCCCTTGCCAATTAGGGAAAAGGATGAAGGGCATTAGATAGGAACAATGCACCTGGCGAAAGAACAGAAAAAGATCCTGCCATTATTTTGATTGGTAGACAGGGATGGGATGCTTTTAGTAGGTATGATTAGTCTGATTTGTTGACTTTATCATATGGACTTGATTCTCCTTTATTCTGTGAAATTATTTAGTGGTGCAATAGAGAAAGTTTTGAACTGAACACTATAGATATGATATCTATCCATGACTTCCAAGGATGAATTCATGAAACATATCACTTTTGGCATTTTTCCTTTGTTAGTAATTGCAGTAGTGTTTGTTTCTACTAGATATGATTGGATAATTCCTTGATATCGTGCACCTACACATGTTCGCTAAAGTAATGCATTCTTTCTTGTTCCTTTTTGTTATCTAGCTTGTCCATTTTCATGTGTTCAAATCCACTTTTGAATTTCTGAGAATATCCTTGTTCATTTGTCTCTCTATCATCATTGCAGATTGTCAATTTTCACTAGTTGGTTCTTAGCTATAAGTGAATTTTACGTCTGCATTGGCCTTCTCATTTGACCAAGTACTTCTTGATTTATTTCAGGCAGGGCAAGAGTCATTTAGGTCCATCACCAGATCATACTACAGAGGAGCTGCAGGTGCACTGCTGGTTTACGATATCACTAGGTAAGCTATATGCCCCTGGAACATTTTTGTGAATACTTTGCATGAGTTAGTTTCCATCTGTTTATTACCTTCTTCAGTTTCTCATTTATGATCATTAACTTACCTGCTGGCTTTCTACCATCATAAGATTGGAGGGTTATTTCATATGCTTCTTTGACTTTTTTGAATAAAGTCTACAAAATGGAATGAGGAAGTTTTCTGTGTTTAACAGTTAATATTTAAATGCAGTTATGTATGCTGCTTTGATGTCTAGATCAAGTTTCAGTTTGAGCAGATAACATTAAATAGAGGTATGAAAAGGATAAATAGATCATTAATGGTTCCATTATGAAAGTTCACGGAGAAAAAATATTCAATCCACTCACACTCAGCCAATCAGTAAAAGTCCTTAACCTTTTTTTTTTTTTTTGGGTGTGTGGGGAGTGTTCTTCCTTCTCCATTTTCCTTCACAATGCTGAAACTGCCACAATCTGCTGCCAAACTCCAGCCTAGGCCACATCAAAGCCTCACCCACCACATAAAATTGACACGTATGCTTCTAGAGTTGTCTTAAAATCTGAGACTCTATTTCAGCTACAAAACTATGAAAGCCTCATTGAATAGTACAGCTTCAGGCGACCTCAAACACCCCCCCCCCCCAAAAAAAACCAATTCTTGATGAATGTAAACAAAATATTAATGCTAGAACCCTCCTTTCAGCATCTAAAAGAACATGCAACCCTCAATTTAGCATACAACAGTTCAAGTTGCATGAATTGAACAGAGACCTACACACATTAATACCCTTTCACTGTTAATTCCAAATGATGGATGAGAGGAAATGGATAAGATGGTGGGGATAAAGAGAGAATGCAACTGTTTTGGAGCATCATCTTCAATTGAAAAAAGAGTTGTAGTTTTCTACAATTTTGTATCTTTTGGCACATGATGAAAGCCTCTCGTCACTGTAGGAGAGAGACATTTAATCACCTGGCTAGCTGGCTGGAGGATGCTAAGCAACATGCAAATCCTAATATGACTATCATGCTCATTGGCAACAAGAGTGACCTTGCGCACCGCAGAGCTGTTAGTAAAGAGGAAGGTGAACAATTTGCAAAAGAAAATGGTCTATTGTTTCTGGAGGCTTCTGCAAGAACTGCTCAAAATGTTGAAGAGGTGATAATTTTCTACCAGAATCTTTTCTTAAGCACTTTCATCATGTTTTCAAGAACTGGAAATTAATTTTCTTAGAGAAGTTTCCTTTTAGCTTGACCCTGTAGATGAATTCTTGCAGGCTTTCATAAAGACTGCTGCAAAGATCCTTCAGAAGATTCAGGAAGGTGTGTTTGATGTATCGAATGAGGTGAGCACCATTTCATCAACTTAATTTTGTACTACACTCTATGGGATTACATATTTGAAACTTCTGCTCAAGTATATTGAACTCTGAAGCTGGGTTAAGATTCATATGTGGTAGCCACCAGGTAACATACTTTTAATGTTGGTGTTGCTGAGAAAATATATAACCTACAAAGTACGTTTTCACTTGCATTTGCGGTAGGGATTATTTCTTAAGTTGCCTATTTCTTGAAGGATTTTGCACATCTTCAAGGGTTCATGTTTAGATCATTTCTACTGAAGAGTGGTGTCGCTCATTTCTACTGGAGTAGATATTATCATAATATTAGTTTGAATTGATTCCATTTAATTTCTTTTAAATTGGAATAGCTGCACTGTCCATCTCTCTGTCTCTCTAGGTAGTTGTTAAATTGTGAAATTTGTGTGACTGCAGTCATCTGGCATCAAGGTGGGGTATGGACGTCCGCAAGGTCCAGCAGGGGCAAGAGATGGATCTGTTGTCCAGAGAGGTGGATGCTGCAACTGATTGCAATATTTATGTTGTTGGGCTTTAACTTGATCCGTTATGAAATATTTGTGGAATCTTTGCGAACATGAAATGTATAGATCGGATTCTGAATGTTTAATGACATAACTCTTACCTGTATTATTATCTTAAGAAAGTTTATTGAGCGCTAGAATTATCTTTTAGCACCAAAAAACGTAGAAACGTGGCTTACCTATGTTGACAGTGTTTTGACTTCGACTGACTGGAAATGGAGAGTATTTTCCATTCGTAGCTTTAATTGGTGGGAGAGCCTATAATTGTCGGCGTCTTGACAAATTGTAACATTTATCTCTTTGGGAGTCAAACGACCTTAGCATAGAGTCATATACTCAACTGTATAATTTGCCTAAGGAATTAACAACTTTATACGTACATTGTGGCAGGAATTCATATCAATCACTATGCAGTATGCACCATTAATTTTGAGAATTCTTTTAGTCTATACAATGGATTGACCGTAGCAATCTAACAATCACCTATCAGTGATGAAGCCCTTGCCATGCGTCGAAGGGTAACAGGAGCACGCTTGCTCTGAATTAAGTTGGGCTCTAGCTCTGGTGGGAGAGTAAAAGCGTTGAAGATACATGTAATCCAAAGCAATCGAACACCTTAAAACTCTGCTAGCACCAAAAATACATAATTAACTCGTCCATTTCTAGTAATAACTGCAGAATTCATCACAGCCTGATGTATATGGTGTTATAAAGACAACTTACTTGTCCAGTTGTAGCCCAAAAATGAAATTGCTTAGAGATATGACGCACTTTCCAGACCCAAAAGAAAGGCAAAATTGGAATTCTTGTACTCACCCTCGCAAACATAGGTTAACTAAAGCAGTAAAATACGATACAATATCAAGGTTTTGCTAACTATTGACAAGAACTTGATCAATAACTAAAAGAATGGCAAATCAACAACTACAGTTCGTGCAAAAATTTTAAATCTCTTCCCCTCGCTACGTGCATCTGGCTTGGATTATGAAGTACCACCAAATATCTGCAGTTGATGTGGCAAAAGTTAGGTCGAAATCAAGCAAAAAGCAAGAAAGACTCTCAAAGTATAAGGCACTTACTCCAGCCAAGATATCCTTAGACAATCGAGGCTTGCTTTCTTCAGTGTTGGTTGCAACTGGTTTTTTCTGGGGAAATTGCCGAATTAATTTTGGCCCAAAATGGGTATCAGAGATCTCAGAATTTGCTCCTGATTCTTGCTGAACCTTTTGCTTCTGCAGATGCAAAACAAGTGTTATTGTGGATTTCAATCCCTTCAAGTTTATATAAGATATCAATTACATAAGAAATTTTAGCAGTCAGTGAACTTTTAATCACGTGTTTCCAAACTTAAAAACCTTACTCTTGGGTAATTTACTGTCACTTAAGTCACGTTGAAGATAGAACTATGCAGAAGCAGAACTAGGTCATGCAGGTTAATGTGCAAGAATGTGTGGAATATGCCTGTCAGACACACAGAGAGAGAGAGAGAGAGAGAGAGAGAGAGAGAGGGTAGGGGGACAGAGAGAGCGAAAGAGGGGAGGGGGAAGAGAGAGTTGATGAGAATTTATTTTCCACAAGACCAGCTAGTTACCATTAAAGAATTGTCAAAAACATAGCATAATCAACTATGCTCTTAAAAGATATTATTAACAAATGGTAATCAATCTATCCCTATATCTAATTATGCTATGGCTAAAGAAATGGTTCACCTTCTTCATGCGCTCTTCTATAGAACTCAGAGCAATGGATTGGTCAACTTTCGACAGATAGAAATCTCGCTCTCTTTTAGCAGCAGATATTTCCAGTGCCAGTTTTTGCTCTCGGATTGCATTCTTGTATGCTGCAATAAAGCAACATCCAACTCAAATAAATGTTCACAAGTACCACATAAGAAAAAGGTTAGTTCAGAATAAGTTAAATACCAATTTCTTCAGTAAGATCGTCCCATTTGAATTTACTCAAGTATTTGATATTCCAGAGATCATAATAGAATGCTGACCTTTTCCTCCCACCTATACATCAACAAATAGCAAAGAAATGAACTAAAATCACATAGAATTTTCACTATGTACCCAGAAAGAAATTTGAGGCAAATATAGACCTTAGTGCAAGGCAGGTTAGACTATGTAATCACTTATCTAAGTGATTGTGTGCAAGTTGCAACCAATTCTACACAAACATATGTTCAATTTACAAAAGGAATTTATGCCCATTAGATGTAGTAGATACGTTGAACTTTGACATTTACAAACAAAATTTTCAGGGCAATAGAACACAAACCTATTTGTTCTCCATTTAACATCTTTGCCACCCTCTTTGCAACACTCTTTTTAGTGAACTCAACCCACCTGTACATATGGAGTAATGAAAACTCAAAATGGGGAAAAAATGAATGCAGCAGACTCATGCAATATCAGTCACAGAAATTTCATAATCTGCATAGAAGTTGTATGCTCATTCATTATATATATAGTTCATCTTACTTGCTATATCCGGTTAAACTGAAGATTCAGACAACACTGTATATAATGTTCATGAAAAGAAATTCAAGATATCTACCATACCCTTCTGAAAATTCTTGTCCTCGAAATCCACCAGCCTGCTTGCGCTGGACTCGAGCAGCAGGATCTGCAAAGTGAATTTTTATTTATAAGAAGCAGCACCCATAAACTACTCCAAAGCCTTCAGATTGTCAAAGCAATCACAAAGTATGAGTTGTAGTATCAAACTAAATGGTTACACTAATCCACATTTAGAACAACACTAACAAGTGGCAATTTGTTGCTTTCAAACCCAAAGGTATTTGAATTACTAATGAAAAAGCAAACCAAAAAAGAAAAACAGTCACTAACTTTCAGGTGTGAGATAAACTCTCTGAATTTCTCCATGCTGAGAGAGGATCTGTCTAAGTTTTAGAGGATCCATATGTGGAGGTATCCTGCTCAAATAGCAAATCCCACGCTTTTCAGCCTTCTTAGCCTCATATTGTAATCGCTTCATCTGTTTGTTTTTCCATTTAGCTCCCTTCACCCCATTTGACTTCGGATCCTCTTCATTCAAGAAGTTGGTTTTATCCATCTCTCGTTCTTCTTCAGACATTGTAATTGCAAACGTGAAATATCTGCAAGTGACAGTAAGACGAACGATTCAGCCGCTAAAACAGTCACCAACTTATTAAGCTACTGCAATCAACTATTGCCTTTTACCTAATGATATTAATTCTGTTGACCAGCTAGGACCAAGATATTTCAACTTAACTAGATGTATCTTCAAAAGTAGTTTATTCTGGTGGAAAATTTCTGTTGTGCCATTTCTTTCTTTCTTTTTTCCTGTTTGTGACATTTCATCGAACATAAAGTCCGCAAAACAGTAATTACAGATAATCCCTACAAGAAAATTGCAGGAAAAGAATTGTACCTACAGAAAATTTCAAGAAAAAACGTATCTTAAATGCTAAATCCAGCTACAGAACATCATACCTCAAACATTAATCAGACAATATCAAACATTAAAAATAAGAGCCATACAGCAAATCAGAGAACTACCAAAACAATTGAAGTAGCAGAAGATTGTCTTAAATGAAAAGAAAAACAAAACTTACCCCAAGGATTCTTTATGGGTTTTTCTTCTTTCTGCAAACTTACAAGAAAAAGAAAATTATAAACTTGTTAAGCTTAGGGAGGCGTGATAGAGGAGGGACAGGAAAAAAGTGAGCCCAAGAATTGGACGGAAAAGAGGTGGACGCCAAGAGCTAAGAGGAGTTGACAAGTGACGGGAGAAGAAGCTCGAATGAGTAGTGTGAATGCGTACCAATTCACTCTAATTTTCTTGCTGCTGCCGCTGCTATGGTGCCTGCGTAGAGGAAAAAAATGAATTAAAAGACAAAGAAAATAGGGAGATAGTAAGGAAGTTAATTTAATTCCGGAATTTTCTTGTTTAGTGGAACTAGTCTTTTCGGTGCCCAGATCCTGTTTGATCAAATGCAAATCATAGAGAGTACTATTAGCACTAATGCGGTTATAAACTATCTTATAAAAGTATCTGAAAACTATCAAGTATTTAAAGCTAAAATTACTAATTAGTGATTATGGCATTGTTCATCTCCTCAATCACCTCTTCTAAGTTCAATCAACATTAATAATCAGATCCTTGAAGTACTAAATAGCCTTACTGAGAAGGACAAAATGTCATCCAACTTTCACAATGTATGGCAGTAAAAACTAAATCAGCACGAAATTAACCCAGATGAGCTAGACAAACCAAAAGATATTATAGATGAATGAAAGAATATCTGAAAACTCCCACAACTATATCTATGCTAGCATTGATATCTTCCATTCAAAATGTAGTTATGACATCAAAATTAATGAGAATGTTATCATCCTTCTGTCAATTGTGCTCCAAAAATATCAGCACATAAGAATGCAGGGAATATATCAAACAATCTGCAAGGAAAAATTGAGAATCGATTTCACTATCATTGGTTATCCTAGAAAGTTGCACTCCATCACGAAAACAGCATAGCTGAGATCAAAGTGCACAATCTAATAAGAAACATTCTACATATAGGCATTAACTTGTAGAATTCAGTATGCCTGTATATACTTTATGTTTTACTTGCTAAGGACCAGAGAATCATACAGTTACTGAGCAGCCATGCACGAGCTAATAGGAAACATTCTACATATAGGCATTAACTATGCGTATATATGTTTTATGTTTTATTTGCTAAGGACCTGAGAATCATACAGTTGCTAAGCAGCCATGCTCTAGGACATAGTGTCAAGCAAACCATTGCCAAAAATCAAAACCATTTTCATGCTTATGATCACAGGGGTATCTAAGTTGTATCAGAAGTCCAGCTAGAATCAGCTTTGCCCCCCCCCCCCCTCTCTCTCTCTCTCTCTCACGACATTTCAGCTAATAAATATCCACTAATTATCTCCCTTGTGGTCAAACCTAGACTACTATATCCTGATTGTCACTAACGGTCTTAGAAACTACATCTGCTTCTACCTCATTTTCTCCTTCACCAGTTATGTTCACCAAAAAAGACTTTTAAGCTCAGTAATTATATAAAAAGTAGGTAGGACAAACTTACGTATTGCTTGCTGGAACATTAACCAAGAAGAAGATTAGTTAAAAGTGATCAGCTGGAATCAAAAGGAAGAAAGAAGTCATTCAAAGAAAAGGTTACAAAATCATCAATTTTGAGGATATTAATTAAATGAGTGATGGCTTATATCCAATTATTTGGCCTCTTGGTCAAATACACATTTACTAGAGCTCCAAGTCGAAGGTCTATATGAGTTTATGCAGTTTCGATTTCCAAGATGATACTAACTACACCACCAAAAAAAAAAAAAACCTTAGCAGACTCTGTTCACATAAATATGTTTTGCCTGAGCAAGAAAATTAGTAGCAATAGAACAAAAATGCAAGCTTGCAGTTGTATCTTGTTTGTTTTTTCCCTGATGTGTCCTTTGATCCCTTGTTTTCTATGCCTAGTCTTACTCATACTTCCCTATCAAAGTTACCTCAACCAACTTTAAACTTATGCTTTAGAACTCCTAAATATAACAAAAAAAATGAAATTGAAAAAAAAAATGAATAAATTCTCCATTCCTAAGTGCAAATGGAGGAAGTAATCAGATTAATGACCCTGTCTCATCCCTCAATAGAAAGAAACCAACAAGAATAAGATTAAAACATAAGCCCAAAGGCCAAAAAAAACATTAAATCATATGGTACAACCTCTCAAAGCCAACCACACATCAATTACTTACACGGTCTAGATGGAAAAGAAGAAGTAGCTGGCATGGTGATGAACAAGAGTTCTATCTTCTATGCGGAAGTAGTCAAGGCTCTATCTCATTCGATATGATAAACTTCCTAGAGACTCTTCTTTCTACCACATTATTGGATTTTGAAGCAGGCGCACACACTCAAAAGCTATACAACATTGGTTAATGACACTATAGAAAGTCATGAACTTGGCCATTGTGAGTGCACACAAATAGTGACTTGTTCTACTATGGTCAATGAGTTTTAATCGAGTCAATCTAAAATTATGTTTCAACAATGAAACAGGATACGGGTAACAAACATCTGGTCTTACAAAATGTAAAGAATTAGTAGTAAATTTGTTCAGCAGGCAACATCAGTGGAGGAGGTAATTGCCCACTCTCAACCACACCACTTCTTCTATATTAAGACTACCTATTCTAACAGTAATTTCTCAAATTGTTTATGAATAAATCAATAGTTTCAGAATTTTAGCGTCTGTATGTCAGTCTCAAAGAGGCAATAAGATCCTATTAAAATGGTATTGACTTTTGAGTCATTAAAAGACCATTCTCCAAATGTTCATGGCTTGCAATTATTCTAAATGCTAACAAAAACAAACTAACTAATGACATAAAAAAATAAAAGCCCAATTAAGAAAGAACTCCACAAAGCCATTCCAAATTCAAATAATGACAGATGTAGTCAAAATAATCCCAATCTCATATCTCCATTCACCATTTATATAGCCAAACAAATGCATGTAGCTAGTTATCTATCTAAGTGCAAATTTAACATACATAAACAGTTTTCTTCATTATAGAAAACAGTTACCTATCTAAGCAGGCAATTAGTCAAGTTTTTGCTAATTAACTTTTCAATATTGTATCGTGTTCTCACTCATGCCTTGCTTGCAATTCATATAGATCCTAAAATGAAGCTAAAACACTAAATAAGACAAAATTAGATACTGAAGTTGCTTAAAAGCACTCTCAGAATATATTCCTTAATGATTTCAAATATTCCCAGTTGGATAACTCCAACATATTAGCTATTTCCCAATAAAATCAAAGATTACATTCACATCCTGTAAGAAAATATTCAGGAATGATAGAAACATCTGGTGAAACTATCCTAATGGAGAATAATTTCATTCCTTATTGGGAATCAACAAAACCAAGTTAAAGGAAAAAAGAGTTGAGGTTAAAATATTGGAGTGCAAATTTACCATACATTAACAGTTTTCTTCGTTATAGAAAACAGTTATCTAAGGAGGCAATTAGTCATTTTTTGTTCATTAACTTTTTGATATTGTATCGTGTTCTCACTCATGTCTTCGTTGTAATTCATATTATATCCTAAGAATGAGCCTAAACTGGAGAACTAATCAGTGATCAGTGATCAATATTTTCTCTATTTTGTATTTAACTACCGTGGGAATAACTGGTAGTCAGTCCTTTTTTTAAAGGAGTTTTAAGCTAAGAAGAAGGATTATCCAGCTATCCCTCAAATTACAATTAAATACAAATGTCGGAGAATTGTTGTTTCTCGCTGAAATCTAATATGTCGCACTATAGGACCAAAAAAAAAAAAAACAAGCGAGAGTCCCAAGAATAGAATCAATTAGCAGTCCTCTAAAAAATTAAGGTGATTGTTCACATAAATTACCATTAATTAAATGCAACAACATTAAATTTTGAAGCACAGGTACAAGAATTCTAAAATCAGCAAGCCAAATATATAAAGAAACCAGAAATTTAATATATCTATAACTTTCCTGCGATTTTGACATACTGTAGGTCAAAGCCTCGTGTATTTTTCATCCAAGTATAGTTTAATTTCCTAATCATGCCAGTACCACAAAAACTTTGGGAGGGAAAAAAATAACAAAAAGGGGCAAAAGTTTAAAAGAACCCACCTCAGGCAGTGAATAAGGTCTCTGAATTCCAAATCTTTTCAGAAAGTAGATGAATAAGTGGTTTCTTTCTAAAACCAGTGAGATAGAAAGCTGTGAAAAGGAGTGATTTAGTGGATAATTGAATAATCAAAGAGGGCAGGGGAATCGGTTGTCATGGAACGACGAGTAAAATTTCTGCCCCACTAAAATCTAGTGGTGTGGTGCCTACTTCAAGTCTAGATATATCGCCGGAGTGACGACATTGCCCTAAACCACTCGTAATGTCACAATTGTAAAACCCACTGGGATATTATTTGTTTAATATTTCATATTATAACTAAAAAAGAAGGGGAATAGAAAAACTAGGGGTGCAAACGAGCCGAGCCGAGTCGAACATTGAACTTATTGAGTCAGGCTCGACTACTGTACACTCGAGCTCAACGAGCTGAAAAAATTGAGCCCGAGCTCGACTTTACTAAGTAAGAAGCTGGCTCGAGTTCGACTCGATAAGGCTCGATCTACTCAACTCGACAAGAGCTCGAAATGGCTCGAATTCAGCTCGAATTTCTGTCACTAAACATAACCAGCTTTATTTAACCTGACTCCAATAGCACGTTTTAAGCTATTCAATGCCTTGCAAACTTGAATTTAACAATTCCAGACATGAATTAAAAGTAACAACAAACAAGTTCTTCATTGTCCAATAATACATGCACGAAATCCGAAACAAATGTCCACAACTCCACATACATAATTGTTTCACAATTTTTCAATTCAAATGTCCAACACCTCAAAAAAACTCAAAAACAAGGAACAAATAGTTTGAAATCACTCTAGATTAAGTCCTCCAGCAACCAATAGCATCGAGTCTTGGATTCTTTCGCCCACAGCCATGCCCACAACCTTCGAGGAAATTACAGCTTTGAAAAGATTGATATATTTGCCAAATACAAAAATATTTTTCTACTACAGAGTAAAAGACAGGCAGTAATAATTTTACCTATAAAAAACATTGCACATGAGTAACAAGCTTCAAAAAGCACATTTAACTTGTTCATAAATTACAAACCTTCATCATTACATTAAAATTACTAAACATTGCACAGGAATCTTCACTCAGCTTTGACTAAACATCATCAAACTCATTCCATTTACTGCACAAATCTGTCATATCTTTAACATTTATACTTTCTCCTATCACCAACAGCCGAAAAGGCCATGCAAATATTTCAAGTTCTAATTGATTATCTGTTATATACGCGCATTACATACTTGAACATAACCTAGGACTGTATTTATGTGTAACATGTACCACATGACCACATTATCGTAAAGAAACATCCTACTACAATTAGACGGATTAAATAAAAAATTGATTAAGTTCACTAAGCACATAATTTTTAAACGCAATCCAGCTTGCATTTTCTAACAGGACAAGCTAAAAATTACCCCAGAATGAGAAAATAAAAAGTGAACAATCAAAAACTACAAACCAAAAGTATTTCAATCAAACAGAAGGTATATTCCATGAAAATGTATGTAAGAAGTTAAAAAAAGAAACCCAACATTCTTACCAATCTTCAAAAAATCGTCCCTAATAATAATAACAAATCCAAATTAAAAAAAAAAATAAGGAGAAAAAAGTACATTGACAAAAACCCTTGTTCCAATCAATAATCAGTACAATCTTAATTCGCCGATCATGATATAGAAAACAATTCAATACATGCGACAGTCTAAAATCCATGAGATGAGAGAAGAAAGCGAATACCCGAGAAGAGAGAAATTTTAAATAAATTGATTGAAATTGGGGACGGAAATGGGAAAGAAGAGGCGATCTAATTCTAAGGAAAGCTCTGTCGCCATTAACAGGAAAGAGGAAATTAATAGTAATAATTTTACATCTAAACATTCTACAACAGGAAAGAGGTGAAGAAGTCGATCTGGCTTTAATGCACTTCCAGGTGTATAGACTACGACAGGAAAGAATCACTTATTCTACCACCAAGCATCATTATACAGCAACAGAAACAGAAAATAAGGGAAGAAGAGTGATGGATAACCTGTTCGCTTTGCCTGTTCGCGAGGCCCTCCACCAATGGAGCTGATGAAATGTCTACCGTAGCTGCTTCTAAAGTTGGCCAACAAACTGGGACTCGGAGAGAAAGGGCTCTTCAATTGAAGGGCGGCAGTCGTGGTGGCAGAAGTGGCTGACTGGTGAAGACAGTGGTAGCGGCGGCAAGGGTTTGCTTTTGATTTGGGGAAAGACGAATGCGGACGGCGGAACAGCCGAGTGGGAAGAAGAAGGAGATGTGTTTCTGTCCACTGTCCACTGTCCACTGTCTTGGTCCTTGGAGAAATTGTTACCTAGTTTCTAATTTAGTAATTAGTTTAATAAGTAGGGATATTTATGTAATTTCTCACAGATGTAATTTCTCACAGCTCGCGAGCTGCTCGTGAGCTCACGAGCCTTCATACAGATGGCTCGAACTTGACTCGTGTTATAAACGAGCTGCTCGAGCTCAATCAATACCGATCTCGAGTCGAACGTTGACCTCGCGAGCAGTTCAATTTATTTACACCTCTAAGAAAAATAAAAGAAGAGCACCAACAATATACTCATAAGGTGACCAATGCTACACTTATTTGTTGCTATCCTTGAAATGCGTTTGATAAAATTGAAATTTGAAAATTGAATTCTGAAATCTAAAATCTAAAATTTGAATTGTGAATTCATTAAATTATTAAATTGTTAAGTATAAAATTTAATATATTTGAGTTCATACCACATTCAATGATAAGTAAATATTGATAAGTAAATATACTTATCACTTAATTTTGAAATCAAATTTTGCTTAGAAAATTTAATATCATTTCATTAATTCAGATGTTCAATTTTTCATTATCAAATGATCTGAATATATTAAGATCTAAATCTATTAAATTGAAGTATTGAACTGATTTATCAAACAGGTACTCTTAAATTAAAAGACTTCACAATTGCTATTCTTGAACAACCACGTGGCTTCAATTAGTGAATTGAGGGACTATGCTTAGAGTTGATAAACACATCCGGTTCAGTGGGATATCATCTGTTGTGGCTGAGACGTGTATACAGGTCTCCTTTTTGCCACCCATTGAATTGAAACAGACTGAGTTGTCAGAAATTAACTTTCCATGTATGATAAATGAAATGAACTTCAAAATATAAACAAGTCCCTTCTCATGTACTGTTAGCTCTGAATTTAGATACGCAGTTCTTTTCTCTTTTTTTTTCGACATAGGGGTGTCCGGATCAATCCTTACGGGGCCTGACTAATCCCCTACGGCCCGGACCCGGCGCCCCAACCCGGCCCAAACACGTTAAGTGCGCGGAGGAATTCAGCGTAGCGGAGACTCGAACTTGTGATCTCAAGGGTCATTGGTGAGAGGCGCCGCCGCTGGACCATTCACGCGGGGGCTAGATACGCAGTTCAGTTGACACAAATATCACTTTCCAATTAATTACTAAACCAGAATAACAAAACATAGAGAATAACTGCCAAATTCTACTTTAACGTAAACAAAAAACAGTAAAGGAAGTGTCAACCAAACCAACTTTAGCAACTCTCAGTTCTGGAAACAAATTTCCTCAACCCAAAACCTATAAAGTCACGCTTCGACTAAGCCTCCATTGTGCAAGGTAGGATGGGAGGCAAGGGTTCAAATCTTGTCTCCCACCAATTTATCACAATTAAATGTGGTTTTGTTTAAAAAATTCAGGTGTATGTAGGGCACTTATCTGATTTGGTGGTAGTTCAGTTCCCTCCGGATTACCCCAAAACCTCTTCAGGTCCTCTCCCTTTCCATAATATAGGAAGCTATTGTATCGACAAAAAAAAAAACTAAGCCTCCATTGTGCATTAAAAAAAAAACACTTTTAAGTACTAAAAGTATTTTTAGATTGTTTGGTAACTAATTTTAGTCTAATTTTTTATAACTAAAAAGTATTTTTATTAAAAATACTTATATTAGAATGTTTCTTTATAAGTCTTGTAGACGCAAGAAAATCTAGGAACTAAAATGCTTTCACGAGGCCCATCCATGCGAATTTGTTTGGATTGTAAGTTATTTGGGATTATTTGGGATATTTTTACTGTAGCACTTTTTGTGATGTGATGTATGTGAGATAAAAAGATAATTGGGAAGATAAAAAGGTGTATTGAAAATTGTAATGATGATGTAAGCAAATAAAATTGGATAAATAATGCCCAATCCAAACAAATTAGGAAGCGTGCATCTCTGGTCAGTCTCGGGAGCCTTATTCTCTAACGCCTATATTTGATTCTTTCAGGGAAGCCGACCTTTGCCGCTTCTGTAACGGTCCCCTCCTTCTTTCATGTGCTATTTTTTCCCCCATATTCTTGTGGCCCTGCTTGTTCCAAGGAATGATGGATGCTTTTGGAAGAGCTAAAGCCTAAAAGCTTCTAACACTTTAATTAATTCCAAATCACTTGATAATGCTATCTTAAGTATACTCTTTTTTTTTTCATCTTAAGTATTCTCAATTAGGTGAAATCTGCATTTGTGGATGAAAAAGCAATCACATGGTGAGTTTTTGAATATATCTTATGTTACTTGGTTCTGAAATTTGTCAAGTTATTAGGCAGAAAAGAGGAGTTGATGATGATGCATGATTATTCCTGTTCTCAAAGTGGTGTGGGCTGTGGGCCGACCCCGGCAAGAATTTGGATCAAATCATGGATTCAAAGCTTTTAAAATAGGAAAAGAAAGCTGCTCGTCCTAAAATAATTAGTACCACTTCAAAAGAAAAAAGATAATGACAGCACAGCCTTCTGTGCCTTTCCCAGGAGACTGGCTGTTACCTATCCTTATGGCTCATCCTTGCCTTTCCAGGAACATCATCTCCAAATACACAACTCTTTCAAACAATGTCGTTTGACCTGGATCTGATCAGTCGGTCCAATTATGAACCGGTCTTCTTCTCGAATTGGTTAGTAGCACTAAACTGCTATAGTAAAAAATCAAACAAAACCATATATAGATTCAAACCATGTCAATGTGACCTTCAAAAAAAAAAGTTTGATCTAACGTGCCAAATTGGTTAGTAGCGCTAAACTGCTATAGTAAAAAATCAATCAAAACCTAGTATAAACTCAAACCATGTCAATGAGACCTTCAATTATGACTGCCAAATTGATAAACTCAAAACCAATAAGTTAACAGAAATATAGTGAAAAGTTCACCTTTCAAAATCACCTAAAGTTCTCCATGCTTTTTTGGTGAAGAAATTCAACTATGACAATGGCGATGGCGGCGGGAGATTAACTGAAAAACTGCACAACTGTGCACAACTTGTTTATTACCACAAATTAAACTTGCAATTACTGATAATCAAATTTTGATCTGATTTTACCAAATACAAAAATCAATATGAATGTTAATGGAATTTTCCATTCAATCTGTCAAAACATTTAGAAATTTTAAGAAAGTAAAGGGGAAAAAAGAAGTGGAGCAAAAATTTGAAGAAATTGAAAGACACACGTCGACTTGAACACCTGTTTGGATAATAAACTTATTCCAAATAATATTTCGCTTGCATCATAAACACATTTTCCGACCCACCTTTTTATCTCACATACATCACATCACAAAAAGTGCTACAGTAATTATTTCAAATAATATTTCAATTAATACTCTATCCAAACAACATATGGGAAAATAGGACAAAAACTATATCCTTGCGGTCTAAGTGGTGGGTGTTAAGGTTCTTAGATGGAGGGAGACAGCGAGATGGAGGGAGCATCAGGTACCATTGGACAAGATATTCTTGGAGGAGAAATTCAACTAAGCCAATTCTTTCAACCTAATTGGTAAAGTCCCAAGATGTTGTGTATGTGCGTGTGCGTGTGCGTGTGCATTTTTTTTTTTTTTTTTTGGTGAAAGGCAAAATTTGTGAGTTAATTGGTAAAGAAGATGAGATTCAGAATAGGGAAGTGTTGTTAATCCAGCAGAGTCCAGTCGAGTATTTGATTCCCGAATTCGACTCGTGAATCTATCAAGCTAGACTCGAGCTTACCTGACTAAGTGGACAAGTCTTGAAGTGTGCTCACGATCGGCTCGACAAATGGGACTTGTGACTCGAGCTCGAGTTCGATTTCGACTCGTTTATTACATACGAGCCAAGTTTACACAAGCTCGAGTTTGAGCTCGAAATCTCAAATAGTTTTTGTTGTTAATTTTGGTGATATTCATACAAATGCCACAATTTAATCACACAAGTTTATGAAATAACATATATGCCCTTCCTTATTGAGTCCAAACAAGCTGCTCAAATAACAAACAATTTGAACTGACTTGACTCGTTAATTAATCGAATATATTTCTGACTCGAACTCTGGTCATTTTCTGAAATTAACGAGTCAAATTCAAGCATTATCGTGCTGAGCATATTCGAGTTTTCGAGCTACTCGTTTCGTTAAACAACATTATAGGAAAGTGAGGAAGAAGATGAGCTATGGTCAAAAATTGTAACAGTCCTTTTGTTTGTTTTCTCATATCCATCTGCCAATGTAGGCCAAACAATGGACAAATTGAACGGCCAAGATTGCAGCACTACGCGATCCAGTGACTAATACTAAGAAGCTAGAAAACTTTCCATCGCTCCATCCAAAATGCCCTCAAAGTTGCTCAAAATTACTGGATAACCGGTCCACGTATACTGTAGCAACTCCAACTCGCGCAATTAATATAGTAAGGAAATAATGATGTGTCGTAAATTACAACTCATCGAGACAAAGAGAAGCGGATGCACGCTAGTATAAAGTTGTATAATTATAGTCCTTACATTACATGTATTGGATGATAAAGGTATTTAGTGAGTATTCATTAGTTGTAATTGGGAAGAATGGAAAGTGAGAATAAAAAGTGATTGAAAGAGTCAGCACCATTGCTCCCTTTTTGTACTTTTATCAATAGAGGTTTAAACAATACGTTATTTTTATATTTTTTTGCACTAATATTTCTAACTTTACCTATTCATGAGGGGATACTTGTACTATATTTTTTTGGGATAATTTTAGAAACCTCCCCTGAGGTGTTGACCTTGGTTGATCAGTCCTTGGTTTTGATGATTAACAAATCAAAATGTAGATTTGGACTAATGTTTTTATGTGAGAAATTTGTTAGAACAGGTCATTGATCCAAAAGAGAATCGAAAAGATTTGAATCAAAGAGAAGTTAAGAAATATGAAGGTTCGGACGTAGAGGATCGGACGTCCGACAGATGACGATACTCTTCGGACGCTTGGATCGGATGCTCATTCATTGTTTCGGCCGTCCG